TGGGGTCTCTATTTGTCTCTGGAGAGTGGAGTCTCTCTCTGCTTCCTGATCACCATGTGAGCTGCTTCCCTCCACCACACTCTTCCTCCATGATGTCCTGCCTCCCCTCGAGCCCTGAGGAATGGAGCCTGCTGTCTATGGACAGAGACCTCTGACACCCTGAGCCCCCCAGTAAACCTTTCCTCCTCTCCAGTTGTGTTCTGGTCGGGTCTTTAAGTCACAGTGGTAAAAAAGCTGACTAAAACAAATGTCTACAATGGTGTTTGATCCCAAGATACTGTGGCCTACTCAGGTTGACACATAAAATGAACTGTCACATTTGGTAAATGGCGAAGGTGACAGAGTTCTAGTGCAGAGTCCTTATGAATGGGACCCTTTACTGTGTGGGGTTACAGAGGGGACGCAGAAATCAATGAGAAAGTGACCCCTTGGCAGACATGGAATGCTCTGGAGTCTTGATCTTCGACTGCCTGACCTCCAGAACTGGGAGGAATGAACTTCTGTGGTCTGTAAGTCACCTGGTCCATGTTGTTTTGTTGTAGCGGCTCACAGGGACTGAGACTGGCTCTGTCAATGTATTCCCTATTATTCTGTGACACAGTTATTCTGTCTGTTGGTCTGTACGTCCTTCCAGGCCCTCTCATGCTGCCTGCTGTCCTCCAATTCACAACTTTCATTCACATTTTGGAAAGACAAACAGAAGTGCAGTAGGGTGTGTGCAAATGGAATTGGAGAAGGGTGCGTGTAGGAAAACCCAGTTTCCTCAATCTAGGTTGAGGTTAAAGGTGAGGCCAGTCGCTTCCCCATAATAGCGGACCCCCAAGTAAAGCAGAGACCATGATTCATTCATTACATATTTCCCTAATAGCTAAGAGAGGCAGAGCTCTGGCCACATACTAGGCTGTCTTGTCAATGCTTCCTAGGTACTACCCGGTCCAGGCCTCGGGGCCTCACAAGACCTGGGAGCCATTAATGCCCCTGGTCTCTCTGAAGAGGAAGGTGTGAGTTGTGTCCAAGGTCTCATGGGGGCGGAGCAGCCAGTGCAGGGCTTGCTCTCGAGGCCTGCATGTGAACTGAGCACTGGAGAGGCGGCCTGAGGGTGGGGTGGAGGCCCCCAATTTGGTGTGGGAAGGAGACCTTGAGAGGTGGTCCTCCATGGTGAGCTCACTGGTCTCCCAGGGAGCTGCAGAAAGGGACACAAAGTAAGTAAGCCCGAGGTGTGCCCAGGAGCCTAGGAGCCCTGGGGGTCCCAGACATGCACAAACGGTGTGTGCCATGAAGCTGACTGAGAGCACGGGTGGCGTGTCCCGGCCCATCCGGAAAGATGAAGGCTCTGTGACCAGGCTGCCCATGGAAGTGCCTGGACTTGGCAACAGCTCACGTTCTGACAGGCTGTTCTGTCATAAGGAGCCCCACAGGGCTGGGGATGTGGCTCAAGCGGTAGCGCGCTCGCCTGGCATGCGTGCGGCCCGGGTTCGATCCTCAGCACCACATACCAAGGAAGATGTTGTGTCCGCCGAGAACTAAAAAATAAATATTAAAATTCTCTCTCTCTCTCTCTCTCTTTAAAAAAAAAAAGTTGAAATTTATAAAAAAAAAAAAAAATAAGGAGCCCCACAGGGCATGATGGCAGGTCAGCAAAGCCTCGAGACGTGGAGCTCTCAGAGGGCCGTGCCCCCACACTGTGAAAATTCTGTGTGCCAGGAAGCCTAGGTGACAATGCAGAATTCTTGACAAGTTCCAAAGTCTTTGGATCCAGGCAGGAAGACTTTTTTGTGTGTGTGTGTGGTGGGGGAAACCGGGGATTGAACCCAGGGGCACTCAACCACTGAGCCCCATCCCCAGCCCTATTTTGCATTTTATTGAGAGACAGAGACAGGGTCTCACTGAGTTGCTTAGGGCCTCGCTAAGTTGCTGAGGCTGGCTTTGAACTCTGATCCTCCTGCCTCAGCCTCCCGAGTTGCTGGGCCACTGCATCCTGCTGAATGTGGCTCATTCTATTTAAATGTCTTCCTGCCTTCCCGGCAGCTCCGGAGGCTGAGGCAGGGATCTGAAGTTCAAGGCCAGCTGTGGCAACTTAGCAAGACTGTCAGAAACTTGGTGAGACCCTGTCTCAAAATCAAAAAATAAGCCACACTGGGGACATGGCTCAGTGGTTAAGTGCTCCAGGGTTCAATCCCTAGTACCAAAAGAAAAAAGAAAAGCAAAAAAAAAAAAAAAGAAGAAGTAAAAAGTTCATCGAATGCATAAATTTTGAATAAAATAATTCATAACTTTAAATTTCTAAGTTACAAATGAGGCAAACATTATTCAAAAGTATTTTAGTAAACCTTAAAACCCAAGTTGACCAATAAATAAAATCACAGGACCAAACTGGGCTTGGTGGTGCATGTCTGTAATCCCAGTGACTCAAGAGGCTGAGGCAGGAGGATTGCAAAAGTTTGAGGCCAACAAGTTAAGGAGACCCTGTTTTAAAATAAAAAATAAAATGGGGGTAGGGATGCGACTCAGTGGTTAAGTGACCCTGGGTTCAATCCCTGGTACAAAAACAAAACAAAAACTTAAGGAAAACATAGGTTTTTTTGAACAGTAAATTGAATACGAATTGCATTTCCTACACACAAACCCTCCCTCAACCGCACTGTGTGGTTCATGTCAATGGCCCCAAAGGCACTTAAGCCTAAGTCCTGACAGAGTGCACGACACCACTTACACAGGCAGGTGCACATTTCTATGCACAGGTACATTTTGTTTCTCTCCTCCTAGTTGGTGCCCCCTCTATGACTCTTTGTGCCTTATGTCCCAATATCACAGTCAGAATAAAGTCAAACTAGCTGGGCCACCTCCCCGGCAAAGCTCGTGCCCAGGGCCACAGCAAAAATGCTCTTCTGGCGTCTGATACTTGGCATTAAAAGAGTCTTCCATGAAACAGACCAAGTTCGTGGCCTGGAGGTATTTTTAATTTTGAGGCACAAATGCAAAGGGAGCTGCCGGATCTTTGCAGGGCTCAGGCTCCACTGACCGCCAACGCCTCGTCACCACCAAAATGAGCAGAACCCAGCGACAGCGCAACAGTGCCGCTGCTCAGACTCCCGCCATCTGTTGGTGACAGGTGGTTTCCACGCCCACTGAGCTGGGTGGCAGGCTTTGAGGGTGACCCGCCGGCCGCCGCCGCTCTGTTCGCAGCTATGGAGGCTCATAAAGAAGAACCTCTACCTAAAAGAGCATCATGCCCCGCCTCGGGCTTTCTTGGCCTCTTCTCTCCATGGATTCTTTTTGGGGGGCAGGGGCGGATATCCGAGATGGAACTCAGGGGCACTTAACCTCTGAGCCCCATCCCCAGCCCTATTTTGTATTTTATTTAGAGACAGGGTCTCTCTGAGTTGCTTAGGGCCTGGCTTTTGCTGAGGCTGGCGATCCTCCTGCCTCAGCCTCCCCAGCTGCTGGGATGACAGGCGAGCGGGACCGTCCTGGTGAAAGGATTCATTTCTTTTGTTCAAGCCACTGAGCCAGTGGCAGTTAGAGCAGCCCCATCAGACCAAGCCTCTAGAACAGTGGTCGGAAATTAATAGGTGTGCAATAAACAATATTTGGGTAAATGAATGAATGAGCAGGACGCCGCTGCTTTTGCCATCTCCTTCCATGGCCTGTTTTCTGGTAACTCACCGGGTTTCTCTAAGGGACACCACCACCTCATTTTCCAAGCTGTCAATCACTGGATTCTAAGTGGGTGCGCAGTCCCACCCCCTTCGACAATGTGATTGGTCCAGATGCGGCATTGTGGCCCAATCAGAGCCTGTTGCCACTCATTCAAGCTCGGGACTATTTGCTTCTTAAAAAATTTTTGTTTTGCTGCTGGAGATGGAACCCAGGGGTGCTTAACCACTGAACCCTTTTTACTTTTCACTTTGAGACAGGGTCTTGTCGAGCTGTTTAGGGCCTCACTAGTTGCTGAGGCTGGCCTCAAACTTGAGATCCTCCTGCCTCAGCCTCCAAATTGCAGGGATTATAGGTGTGCCTCACCACACCCAGCCCAGTCTGGCAACTTTAAAAGACAGACAGTCTTATTCCAACTTGAGTCCAGAATCCAGAAAACAAATGGTTTGGATGTGGTCATGGTATTTATTCATAATATGTTTTCAACATGTGTTAATAATGGAAAACAATACTTATTCATACACTGAATATACCTCTCCCTGGAGCACTGTGGAGTTCGCTTGGAGTTGAATATGGCCAGGTGTTTTTTTTTCTCCCAATCTCTTTGGTTTTTGGAAATGGGCAGAGTTTCTCAAACCAAGGGTCTTCCATGGGCCACTTCCATTCCAATCAAGTTGGAAGGGCACATAGACCAAGGCTTCCCCACTTCTTGGAAAGAAGTAATAAAATGTAGATTCACAGAAGATCAGAAAGAAACCGGCACCTTGTGTTCCAAAGTCCATCTCTTCACACAGCATCGGATACTACAGGCGAACGGCGGGGTATCAGGCCAGCAAAGGAGAATCCTAATGACTCAGAACCTTCCGGAACATCTCCAGGGTGTGCTTGCTCAGTGACCTTGGATGTCACTCTAGAATACCTTGGCCAAACAGTGTGAGGATTTTAATTTCCCAGTGTGTCTCTGCCAAATCCTCTGTCCCAATGCAGAGACACCCAGGAGCCCCACACTGAAGCGGCAATACCAGCAAGAATAAAGTTCCACTCTCTTCCAGAAAAGGCATGTCCAAAACATAAGGGTGTCGTTGGTCTTATTCTATCCAAGTGACTCTGTCCTCTGGAAACTGTCTTTCTGTTGCTCCCTTTTTATTAGAAGTCTGAAAGTCACTTAAATACATACAACATTAGCACCAAGGCAGCATACATATATATATATATATGTATATATATATTTTTTTTCCCAGAGATCACATGAAACCGAATAGCTACTGAATAGAATTCCCAGTTGGTACAGTCTGTGTGCCATGTCACTAACTGGTTAGCTAATGAGACTCATTGGCTAAAGAACCTTTCCCAGAAATGCCCAAACTGCCCTTGTACGACTCTTGTAGCACCTTGATGATGGGATGGCTGGGTTGTTTCAAAACGCAAATCACAATTAAAAAAAAAAAAGTATCAGCAAAACACCGACAGATAAAAAGTAAACTGCAGTGTACCGTGATAAGGAAGAGTCACCTCTGTCGTAGTCCTACATATAACGTAGAGTACGTAAAACGCAGTGGTCTTGACTGCAGGGGACAAAAGTGATAACGTGAAGGCAGTCACAATAAAATCATTTTACGTACAAAAATATTACATCACAATAAATAATTTCAAACATATAAATATTAAACTTTACATCATCAGGCTATTCCACAGGTTGAAGACCCCTGATCCAAAATGCTTGGGACCGGAAGTGTTTGCAGATTTCAGATTTCGTGATATTTGCACACACGGAATCTGATGTTCAGATTTTTGGACTGAGGATGCTCAACCTGCACATATATATATTTATATATATATGCATATGTACACACATATACACACACACTCTCTCTCTCTCACACACACACACACACACACACACACACACGAGCATACAGGTCTCTCACACACACACAGGCACCCAGATTTAAGGTGGAGGTATTGCATGACTATCCTTCATCCATCCCATAATGGCTTCCTCTTCAGAGCACCTGAAATAAACAAATCAGAAAGTGTAAACCTTCTGCCTCAAATGCCAAAAGCCAAAGAGTAGGTAAGCCACATATTTTTACATATATAGTTTTAAAATGGCACTATTATTTTCTACCGATTTAAAAAAAATATATATTTTTTTCTATTTTGGTATCAGGGGTTGAACCCAGGGGCACTTAACCACTGAGCCACATCCTTGGCCCTTTATGTATTTTATTTAGAGACAGGGTCTCACTGAGTTGCTGAGGGCCTCGCTAAGTTGCTGAGGCTGGCTTTGAACTAGAGATCCTCCTGCCTCAGCCTCCCCAACTGCTGGGATCATAGGTATGCGCCACCTCATCCAGCTATACTCAATGAATTTTGCCAGCATTAATTTTGTTCTCCTTTCTCTGATAACAAACATCTTCTTGTCCCTTAGGAATGATGTCTCTCTTGAAGCTATCAGTCACTTGACTCTAGGAGGGTATGTGATCTCAGGCCCTTGGATATTGTGATTGGTTCAGAAGTAGCCATGGGACCCAATCAGAGCCAATCAGAATTCTTTTGCATAATGGATGCTGGGGGTGAGTATTTATTGGGTCATGAGCTATGATGAGGATGATGTCATCCTGGAGCTGCCGGGGACCCTGGTGTGGGGGAGACCATCTGTCTGAGAAAGAAGTTATTTAAGAGGCAATCGCTGCTGATCAATAAAAAAAAAAAGAAAACCGATAACTTTGTTTGAGCCTCTGGATGCAGCCGTGCCCAAGCCAGCCGCTGGACGTCTTATTTATTTAATATATTTCCTTTGTCCCTTGTAAACAGAAATAATTCCAATTTAGAACATAATTTCGGATGTGGATACTTAATTAAATATTAAAATGCTCATAAATGTCACATAAGTACTCCTGTGTCAGGTTTTCATAAAGAGCTGCTGAAAGATCCGGGAAGATTAGGAGGCCCACGTGAGTTGGCTGAGCTTGTCCCTTGCGGCTGAACACACCAGGACCATGTTAAAACATAAAAATAAAAAAATAGTGGCCAATTCCACCCTGCGTCCAGCAGAGGGAGCCCGCGCCAGCATGATGCGGTTAACCAGGGACTGCGGATCTTTATGCAGGATTTCTCTTCCCCAAGAGAAATTTCTCTTCCCCATTTTGTTAAAATGCAGATTCTGATTTTTGTGGGTGCAGGGTGGGGTCTGAGACTATGCATTTCAAACAGGCTCCCGGGTGATGCTGCTGCTTCTGGTCCCAATGCCACACTGTGAGTGGCAAAGCTGGTGGCACTGTACCGTGGCCGAGAGCCCTCCTGAGCACTTGGAAGGACCGTGAAGCAGCTTTGTAATAGATGTGGGCTTCAGCTTCTGTAAAGCCCCAAAGCCTCACTTCATGGGTTCCTTGGGAGAATTCGATTAAATCATGCCTGTAATTTGCTTAGCATGGCGAGGACCTGACAATTACCATTGCTATTATTATTATCATCGTATTCCTGGACAGTAGCTCTCAAAAGATGATCTGTGTGCTCCCTGCATTAAAAATACAGATCCTTGAATCTGCCTGAAGCAAGACTCCTAGAGATAGAGCCTGCCAGTAGAGAAGATTTTAAATACTCAATGCAGAGAAATGGGATTCATGTGGCCTTGGGAGGGACCTCATATTCAAGGGTGGAGGACAAATGGCCTTCTTATGTGAAAGCAGATGGGCAAGAGAGAAAAAGATAGGATAGTCTCAGGCCAGTTTCAGTACCCTTACTAGTGACCCTGACTGGGGGAAATGACTGGCCCACAGCTGCTCCTCAGTAGGCTGCAGAAGAAATGGTGGGGGTGGGGGGGGTATGAGGAAAGAGAGAGGAGAGACAGATCAGAGATGGAACACATACCTTAGCTATAGAACTTGCACCTCCAGGCCAGTACCAGAAGATGGAGTGCATTTTCCACAGTAACCACCACATTTCCCTACGACTCGGGTACCATCCTGCAAAGAGACACATCAACTTAGATTACCTAATGTTTTCAGAGCTCGCAACACCTTTTGTGAAAAATCATGATTGTACACACAGTAGGCATGACCTTCTGAAATTAAATGAAACCTAAGATGCTCACCAGGGTCTAACGCTGGGGTTGGCCAACTATGGGATAAAGGCCAAATCCAGCCAACCACTTGGTTTTTCATGGTGGACGAGCCAAGATTGGATTTTACATTTTAAAATGGTGGATCAGGGCTGGGGTGGTGGCTCAGTGAGAGAGCACTTGCCTGGCATGTGTGAGGCACTGGGTTCGATTCTCAGCACCACATATAAATAAATAAAATGAAGGTCTATCAGCAAGTAAAAAAATATTTAAAAAAAAAAGTCCATCAACAACTAAAAAACATTTTTTAAAAAGTATTTTTTTAAAAAAATGATTGATCAAAAGCAAACCAAGAATAACATTTTTTTTGACATGAGGCGTTTCTATCAAATTCAAATTTCAGTGTCCCTTAGTAAAGTTTTATTATAACCAGCCATGTTCACTATATTACCTAAACTCTATGGCTACTTTCACTTTGCAACAGAAATGAGGAGTTGCAGTAGGTCTCAGTTTCACATTGATGCTCAGTGTGTCACAGCGACACTGTTTTAACTTGATACATCTTATTTATTTGTTTTCTACCAGTACAATCATGAAGACAGGTGAAGAAAAGAAGGGAAAGTGGGTTTTGCATGCTATACTTTTGGGGTGGGATTAGGGGTCCAGCTCAGTAGTAGAATGCTAGTCTTGGGTTTGATCCTTAGCAACAAATAACCATTCCCCTCCCCAAAATGAATGTTATACTTTTAGGATACAATGGCAGGCAGATTGTTTTGTTATCAAATTTAGATGACAAAGCATTGCATTTATTATGTAATGACAATATAGTCTTGCTAAAGAAAAATGATATACACCAACATTACCAAACTAAAATCATCACAAATATTCCCGTAATGGTTTAGAAATGTATAAAATGTAAAATGGGGGTATATTACCAGAGCATGATTCTTACCCAAAAATAAAATATGAAAATGAGTAAGTCTCCAGTTTGCTCACTTGTTAGTTGGGCAAGGAAAACAACTTACTCATATGAATTAATGTGAATTAATGACACCTTATTTAATTGCAGCAGCTCAAGAAATGTGTCCAGCAAAAATAAACTAATTTAAAGAAACTACCCTTTTGGCAAGAAGAATTGCCCCAGAAAGTTGAAAACGTTGGCAGCCATGCCAATAGGTACTTAAGAACAAGGCAGATGATTTTGAGTGGGTTTCTTAGGTTCTTGACGAGTCAACGGATATTACTGATACTATTTAGGGGCTGTTGTCATTTGTGGAGACAAGGGCCAATCTGAACTGACTTACAAATTAGCCTTTATGAATGGCTCATATGAAACAAGCATGGGTGACAATATTTCAATGAGGTTGAGAAAAAACACTCTTGCAGAAAAACTGAAGTGGAATCTGCTAAGAGGCGTTGAAAACAGATTGTGGTTAAACTAGGTTTGGAGTGCAAAGAGTTTTAGTTGGAAAACTTACAAAGCTTGTGAAACTGTAAGATTTAAAGCCTATGGTTATTCATTGTATTATTTATCAGCAGGTACTTTGTGGAAAATAATTGAACCTATCAGATTTAATAATGTATTGAATATATAGTATTGTCAATATAGTAATGTCAATCATGAATTGTCAATAATTGAATATATAGTATTACCAATGAAGTATTGTCAATATAGGATTGTCAATAATTAATTCATTTGCTATAAGTTAATCATCATCAGTCTTGTGCCTTTTTACTTTTGTAAAAAAACTAGAAGCTGAATACCTTGACTTGTCTTACCACTGCAGTGTAATCACTTAGCAGTAAAGTTTTATTTTGACTTTTGAGCGCAGGATCCAGATTAAAAGTTTTCTGAGTAAGAATTGTTCCCAGTCATTCCAACTGGATGCTTAGTGTTTGAACTTTAGCCTTGCTATAGACTTGGTAATACTTCCTAATGAAGTATACCTAGGGTGATATGGCAAATCTGCAATTACTGGCAAAACTCCTACTGTGGTAAGGGCATTTCAATGACAAGGAACATTATTTAAATCACAAGTAATGTTAAGCTGCTTTAACACCTCCCCAGACTGGCAAAAGTTAAAATGAAAAAAAAAAAAAACTACATCTCATCGCACACAAATTTACAGTGGTTATATTTTCTGAGTTTAAACGGCAGTGTGATTTGGACTTTGATGTAAGTGCAAAGGAAATGTTCATATTTCAAAAATTCATTTAGCTAGGTAATTGAGGAGCTTCCATTTCATTTTCAGTTGCAAATGTTTAATGGTGATTAATGTGCAATGAAATGATATGCTAAAAGGCAAATATCAGGAGAAAACTCCAACAGAATTCTATAAAGGTCTGCCAAACCTTGAGTACGCTCCAATGAAATTAGACAGCTGTGGACAGATATCGGTGTCCGACAATATGTATGCATGTAAAAGAACACTTTGCAACATGCATGAATTAGATATGATCTCATTTCAGATCTGCATCAACAGGTAAATATCTACAATACATTTTGATAACTAGAGAACACTAATTAAGCCAAATGTTTCCTCCACCAATACGCCAGTCTTCTCATTGGTAGATTTGTATTATAAAAAAAGTACTCAATTATTACATTATGCATTTATCCAAAATTTTTACATATTCTTTCTCTCTTGACATACAAATACACATATGACATCACTGATTTTGCTTCTTGGTCCTCAAAGCCTAAAATACTTGCATTCCGGCCCTTTCTTTGTCAATCCCTGGTCTACAGACATGCATAGTTTGTCTTTGACTTTTCAGATTCATCTTGTGCTATTCTTTCCTTCACGATGGTATTTCTTTGGGCTGTTCTTCTGATATGCCCCTTATAACACAGGGCCTCTGCACATGCCCAGTCTCTCTAATTGGAACTTTCTTCTCTTTCCCTGCGTGTGTACATTATACCCACCCCAATATTTGCCTAATAAATTCTTCAGAATTCAGTCAAAGGTCGTCTCCTCTAAGAAACCTTCCTGACCCAGTTACTCGCTGCACAGCACGCTGCAATTGGGCAATTAAAAAAATTTTTTTTTTTTGTCTTCTTGCTGGAAGGTAAGCATCATGATGCAAGGTGAAATTTCTCTCTGTACTTGGGATTGAACCCAGGGATGCTGAACCACTGAGCTACATCCCCTGCCCTATTTTGTATTTTATTTAGAGACAGGGTCTCATTGAGTTGCTTAGGGCCTGGCTAAGTTGCTGAGGCTGGCCTTGAACTCATGATCCTCCTGCCTCAGCCTCCTGAGCTGCTGGGATGACAGGCATGTGCTACCATGCCTGGCCTAATTTCTCATTAAAATCCAAAAGCATCCATAACTTAGCATGGTGTGTGGCTTATAGTGATGCCAAACACATATCTATTAATGGGTAAATGAGTGAATGAATGAATGAGGCTGAAGCTGCCTTGTGTTTCTGAAATGTGGAACACTGCCTTGCTTTAATGCTATAATTGTTTCTGTTAATTGTAGCATTGCATTGCATTATGTATTTACCATGTCACTTAAATCCTTTTCCACCTCCCTCTCCAAACCATGTTCTACTATTTCTGCTACTGGGACTAACACAATGACGAAGAGATCAGGGTCTTAATTTCAGGGTGTCTTTGGGCTGTGTTCCCAGAACTGGGTGAAGGGGTATGAAGATTTGGTTCAGGTAGCCCATCTGTGAAGCCTCCTGCAAACAAAGGATCCCCTCCTTTTCTTTTTATAAAAGAAAGAAAGAAGTGTGGGGGAGGAGGAAGAAAAGAGTGAGTTTAACTATGAAGAAGAACAAAACATTTTCTCTTTAGTTTAAAACTGAAAGAGACCCTGTCTGGAAGAGTTCTTCCTTCCTTCTTGTTGGGACGGAACCAGGACCTTGCCAGCGCTAGGCAAGGGCTCGGCCACTGGGCTCCTCCGAGCTCAGGAGAGTTGTTTCTAGGACCCTACTTGGTTCTGGTTTTAGGGGTCCATGTTAGTTCTGGAACTAGTTGGTACAGGTACTAGTTGGTACAGATACCAACAAGAACTAGGTTTGATGACAGAACAACTGATCCCCTAGCTAGGAACTTCTCCCAGGCATGAGTCTAGGGCTGGCGCCCTTCAGGATGCCACAACATGCTAGAAAAGTCTTTAGGATCCTCAAAGCTAAGCTTTACCCAAACTCTCCTCATCCAGCAGAGGAGGTAACTTGAACCAGATTTGCCTGGTACTGGCACTGCCTCTCTACACAGGCTCCTGAAAGCCTTCGTGCGCTGGGGCATCTGTAAAATGGAAAGCACGAGATTTTCTCTAACGTGTTTGCCATAAGCACTTAACAAGTGCTCAGCAAAGTGCTTGGCCCAATGCACGTGCTCAGGAAGGGTTTGCTCTCTTGATCATAAAGGCATTGGGGGGCGGGGGGCTCTCCATCCTGTTTTCCTGAGGACGAGAAAAAAATGCGGGTAATTATAAGATTATAAAATTGAAAGGTAAACGTGGTTCAGGCTTCACGCCAATCCTCTATTGGAAGTCTGTTAATTTGATTTAGGTAAAAGCAGAGCTAAAATTTATTTTTACTATAAGATAAAAAAAAAAAGCACCATACCAAGCAAGCAAATAAGATAAACACAACTGTCATGGAGACAGTGTCTCTTTCAGAGGGAAAAAAAAAAAAACAAGTAGATAAGAAGCATCCACCCACACAGCATGCAGTGTTAATTTTTATTCCTTCATTAGAGTGGGCCTTCCAGAATTCTCTTTTCAGCTAATGTGCAATTAGCGTAGTTCAGACTATTACATATAAGTCAAATGGATGGATCTCTGTTCCATTAAGAAGAGCTTGTATTTTACACTTGGCACTAATTTTTTTCTGCGTTCTCAGTTATATAACTAGGGAGTGACTACCGTGATTTAGGAAGGCACGTGCTTG